TATATATAAAAGCATCACGCACATACTGTAAGGGAGCCGCACGGAGACCTCTTTGTAAATAGGTGCTATAAATAAATAAGTATATTCATATGTTAATTAAAAAATTAATATATGTATATACGTATATACAAATGCGTAAATAAAGAAATAATTATTATCATCATCAGCATCATCATCTTTATCAGCATTATCATTATTGTCATCTCGATCATTATTATTATATTATATTATTTTTATTTGCATTATTATTACTATTATTATTATTAATATTATTATTATTAAAATTGATTAATATTTTGATCGATATTTAGTAGGTGTGTAAGGTAAAGAAAAAAACAGACTCTAATAATGAAGATATTCTAAGTACCTTTCCTAATATCTAAATAATCTTATGTATAATCTGTTGCGTGCGTATGCGTGTGCGCGTGAGGAAAAAAAAGAGGAGGGAGGGAGGGAAAGAAAGAGAAAGGGAGAAAGATGAACATGTATATGCGACCATTGTAGATAATTTGTTGTTACGGCGTTAGACGCGCTCTCCTTCGGGGTTCCCACGTGATCAATCGTTAAATCGTGTTACGTTGTTCGTATAAAGGAAACCATGATTGTTGTATTTTGCATTTTTAATCTTATACAAAATTCATTTTTATTTCCACCACTATCGACGTAGAATTTACGACGAGGGAAGGTGTTAACGGTGCCAATTTATTTCCGTTTTTTTTATTCGTGTCGAGAATCGCGGTTTCAGTCAACGAGAGCGAACCCCATGGATGTCACGTCCGCGCCTTACCTATGCTCAAGTTGTTTAAAACTATTACGTTGTTATTAAGAAGATGATAGGACAATGAATGAGAGTAGGGGCGAGGGGTAATAAAGCGTATAGAAGAACGTTCGAAGTAGATCCATTTTCTTGCTGCGTGTAGCAGACTCCTTTGCAATACGGCATGCGACCCGCTATCTCTGGATATCCCAAATTAAGTCAACACGAAAAAGAGAAAAACAGCAGATAGAGAAAGAACAGACAAATTTCTAATTACGTAACGCGTACGTGCGCGATTATGTACAATTAAGAAATCTCGACTTACTAGCATACATCCTGACAAATAGACAATGGGATTAAAAAAAAAAGAGTATCATATAATCGATTGAAATGTAGAGCAAAAGGATAGACAGATACCCATCATTCTGGTTTACTATTGGAGATACGTATATAGGAAATGAAATAAGAGATAGTTTCGCATGAAAACAAAGGACTGATGCAAGATAAAAAACTCCGACCCCGCACTTTAAATGTGATTTCTTCTGCCTATCCTTAGTTTCATTGATTATATTATTATTATTATTAATATTTTATTAATATTATTATTATTTCGTTTAATAAACTGTCACGTGTTAAAATAAAGGCAAAGGAGAGTTTCTCGATTTATGTGATGCTGAATTATTTTGTTTCTCTGTTTTCTGACACAAAAGATTAAATTTGTTTTCGCCTTTCCTTTCTCTCTTACAATCCTCCTTTCATCCATTGTTTTTAAGATTTCTGTTTTGCACCAATTGATTAATTTTCGAAAGACGACATTTATTTAGCATATTTCGATTTGTAAATTTTGAAAGTTTATGAAGAATATCGAAACGATGCGGAACAAGAATATATACATCTCGTCCATTAATGTTTCTATAGAGATATTAAACGTTGGAACGCACAAGGATCAAGGTGTCTTTTTCACGTGTCTGAATTTAATCTGCATTGATCCGTAAGTACACACATACATGATCTCTTTTCATAATTAGTCGATTGATATAAATCACTTTTTTATTCCAAGGATGCAAAATTGATGAGACATTAAATTGAAATAAAAGAAATTTTGTTAATGCCTTTTTTTTTAAACACTATTACTGTCAAAATATATTATTATTAAAAAAAAAAGTGAATACATCGTGTCTCTCCTCTCACGTAAGTTATTTGTACTCGCGCGTACTTACGGATTATGAAGCACAAGTTACATGAAAGAATAAAACGAACCGACTCTCTTCAGAAAATGGATTTTACTCTTAATCGCGTTTCCAGCACATTTTCTTTTCGTGGCATGAACTTTCTCCTTATTAACTGGAATGATCTATTTGTTTCGTCAAAATTATGTAAATTAGAGAGGAAAATAGAATGTAGATTTTTTTTTAATTTGACAAAGATAGAAATAGCACGCTTGGAGCAATACATTCTTTCCGTTTGTAACTTGTCGCTTCTTTGCTGGTAAAAGGATTGGAGGAAATCGTTTCCCCCCCCTCGCTAATCATTGCCGCGACTCTCCCTTCTGTCGTGCACCATTTCGTTTCCGTTGTACGCCGCTCGAATCATTTCATCCTTCGCTGATTCTCTGTCGCAATCCTCTGTCTCTCGTTTCTTACATTCGATTACGATAAATTTCATGAGACACTCGAGCGCACTCGATTCCAGCGCGCCGCGCGCGAACACTTCGCGGACAGATGCCGTCCAATTATTCTTTCGTCGTATATACATATACCATACAAGGGCAAGGGGATTCATGTGTTACGACATACTAAAGACAAAGGGAAAACTTTTCATCTATCCTACGACATGAAAAAAGTGTTTCGGAAGATGAAAGGAGAGAGGGGGGGGGGGGGGGGAAGCAATAATTAACAAAAATTAAGAAAGAAAAGTACGTGATATTCGTAATTGAAAGATATTTGCGGGACGTACCGATTGACGAAGTTGTTCTTTGCTACTCGCGGGCGATCAGTTCCTTCGAATGACAACGATCTTTTGGCAGACGCGAAAAGGGAAAGATATAATAGAGTACACTCTTTTAGCAATACTTAGGAAGCACGAGAAGGAGGGGAAACACGAAGTCTTTCGACATGGAGAACGATAAGGTTAACGGACGATATCGACGAGCGGATGTCGATCGTTTAACGCAAATAAATTTCGTATTCCAAGCAATAATTTACAGTCCGCGTCAATCGCTGTGTCTATAGATGTAA